TACAAAAAAAAAAAAATAACTAATGTAATGCAATAACTCTGTAATCCTGAGTTAAAATATTTATATACTTGCAGTTGTTTTACTTTCAGAAGGCTATCCAGCACTTTGCGGGATTGTTTGGTTCATTTTCGTGAAATATATTTGGTCCTAACTCCATAAGGTCAGTTTCCATAGGCTGAACCTTAGATGCACAGTCTGGTTTTATCTGCTGACTTGACATATAGATCTTATCAGCGCAAATCAAACATACCTTAGCCATGCCTTTCTGTACACACATTGAAGTAACAGTTTGAGGGAAATGGTATTTATACAATTGATTTATACCATAGACCAGCGCTGAGTTGTCATCTCACAGTGGAAAGATAGACAGAAATATCTATGGTTTTTTCAGATTTGATGCAAGTGAAGCTTTCTCTGGTCTCTCAAAGATAAAAGCTCACTACTCTTTATCTAATGGTGGTTTTGGTGGTCTACCAGGTTTGCATTATTGTTTGGAGATTTGTTTTTCTTTATATCATTTTCATTTTCTTTATATCAATTTTTATAGTTAAGTTTTGGTCCTGTTTTTTCACTGATTTTACTTTGACTTACATTTTCTTTATGCAAGTGAATTATCTTATATCTATTCTCCTCAGAAATATCCCCAGAAAAAATAGTACCTTGCCCTTAATAGTTATTTTGACTGGAAATTAAATAACTAAGAGTTTGTACTGTACAAAAGTCGCATGGCTTTTGTACAGTACTGTAAGAGAAGCTTACACCCACCATTTAGCATTGCACATACACCAGTCTATTAGAGATTACTCAAGATGGCAAGCATGATTTAGACATGCAAATTGCATGCTAATTGGTGCCTTAGAAGCTTTCATTATTTGGTAGCTACATTAGCCATAACATATTTTGACTCACTGACAAAATAGTAAGGGAAAATAGTTTCTTGCCAAATTATACCTGTAAGCAGAGTGTTACTCATAAAAGATTTCAAATAAAGAACTTAGAAACTAGCTAAACCAAGACCAGTTTTAATCAGAGGCCATAACACTGACCTTAGATACATCTTCTCCATTGGCCGTGCTACATATGCAGATTAAAGCATAACATATTATATCTGTCCAAATGTAAGTGTTTCTATCCCTTGTGATGTACATCTTGGGGCACTTCCTGATTAGGTTTCCTGATGAGGCTAAGTTAAATGTCAGTTAAACTCAAAGCAAAACTGAAAGCAGACTCCCTCTAAAAGACATTTATATAGTTTCTATTTTTGGTCTCATTTTCTTGAGATGTGGTTGACGTGGTCTGACTGAGAGGACCAGTGTGAGCAGGTTCAGTTTAATGCCACCTTACACACTTACAGTTACAAACGCACTCATCTGTATGCCCAGAAGCAGGTCACACCACTGCTTTCTCCTGATTTCCTACCTAAATACATGGTCAGTTGTGGAACATAGCTAGTGAGACATTGCAATAGGTGCGTGCAGACAGACTACTGGAGATACAAAAGATTCAGAAATGGTTTAAGATAAAGATCAAGAGATGTGCTGATATAAGGCCTGCTCTAAGAAAGAACAGTCCAGTCAAAGGTTCTCAGAGTTCTGATAAAATACTAAGCCACTATTTCCTTTTCCTGCTACTATAAAACACACTGGAGGTGAGCTTTATCTGGTTAACTTGATTACAGAAAATCATACAGATCCAATACATAAACTGTAAGCTTTACAGATCTAATGGATACAATGAAACATGGTGGCCTAACTTTTCATAGATAAATAAACATCTCACTGTTATGGCATCTTAGGTTCTGTATGACACAAATTTCATACTGTCATCATAAAAAATGTTTTTTTTTCTTTTTATTATATCCTTTGAAAACATCAGCTGCTCTTTACATTGTGTAAAGATTTTATGGCAAATAGCCCAACATATAAGGGGCCAAAATTAGTAGGAATAAAATCTCTCTATATTATCATATATTAAAATGTCTTCCTCTTATAAAGTTACTATTACAGATGTATTAGGTTTTGTTTGTGGCAACAATATATATACACAGACTTACCACTTTATAAGGTACATGTATATTGCATCCACACTCATTGTAATCTGCTTCACCTACCATATAGATGCAATTGCTGACTGTGGCCCATTTGTTGCTACACCAGGTATTATTTGCCTGATTGGCCAAAGTTGCTGGAGTTTAAAACAAATCAGTGCCACTGCTGTGTTGAGAGTAGTCTACCAACCAGAAATATGCATCCAACAGCAGTCCTGTGGTCAGAAACTTACCACTGATGGAGGGTTAAAGGGATGACCGAGACATATTATGCATCAACAACAACCAACAAGGTATGCGTGTGCCTAATAAAGGGGACAGTAAATGTAGGGGACAGTATTAAAAAAACATAGTACCACTACTGTGCCTGATAGACTCATACCAGCACAACACACACTACCATGTCATTACTGAGTGTCGCTGCAGTGACACCTTAGTTCCAGTGAAGGGTAATGTGAATGCAACAGCATACAAATACATTGTAGACAATTATATGCTTCCAACTTTGTGGCAACAGTTTAGGAATACACTGTTCTGTTCCAGCAAACCTGCCCCTTTGCACAAAGTGAGGTTCATAAACACATGATTTCATAAGTTTGGGGTGGAGGGATTCCAGTGGCCTGCATAGAGCCACCCCACTGATCACCTTTGGGATGAATTGGAACATCATTTGCAAGCCAGGGCTTCTCGTCCAGCATCAGTGCCTGACCCCACAAAAGCTCTTTTCTTTTAACTGAATGGTTTCCCGCACATTCCCGTACTACAAAATCTTGCCAACTTCATATTAAGTTGGGGGATTTGGTGGGGCCAAGTCTATATTAATACCCATGGTTTTGAAATGGGGCACCCAACAAGTTCATGTAGCTGTGATGGTCAGGTGTCCACATACCTGCCATATCGTGTATTGCTGATAAAATAGTAAGTGGGTATAAATACAAGATATACCTAATAAACCAGCAACTCAGTTTTGTACTAACTCAGGTTGGTGATCATAATGTATATCTTATGTGGCACTGTATATCTTAGCAGTTGGGCTGTGCTGTTCCAGCTGCTCTGTCTTTCCGCCTCCACCTCCACAGGCCCCTTTCATTCCTCCACAGTTTGTTCAGAGTGTGTGAAAGTCATTCATTCAAGTGTTGTGCGTGTGTGTTCAGGGGGGCTTAATTACACCAAATTCCTCTTTTTTCAGTCTTGGCACTGAAAGCAGAGGATCACACTAATGCCAAGTACAGCTAGTGTGTGTCCAGCATAAATAATTCCGCTCACACGAGGGCCGTACTCCTGCCGAGCAGTTAATAAAACTGTCTTCCTCATATGTAACTAATTGCCTTTGACAAACTACAGCCAGCTTCGTCGCTCTACCCTCCCAGTGGAGGATCTGATTCAGATGCTGAACGGTGAGTGACTTGGGATGATGTCACCACTACTCCACCCAGTCCTGTGCTTGCACTTCTGGCAGGAGAAACCCATTTTACTGCACGCTTATATAACTGTGGTAATTCTACACAGCCCATGCTCCCAGTACAGAGCCAGCATGCTTCAAGAATGTGAGAGAAAAGGCTGGCAGCAGTAACTAGAAGTATGAATTTATGATGAGATTACTAGGGTAACACACCCTTTAGTCAGATTGCAAATTATATAGTAACACTCACCCCCACCCCCTCCATGGCACTGTTCAGAGATCTTAGTAACTATAATTTAAACCAGGTGTATGTTTCAGAGAACAGCATTCTTTCAATCATATTATTTTCAAGGTGGGTACCTACACTGCTACGCATTACATGTTTTAATAGACCACAGTAGAGATTGGATAGTTAGTAAGATGACCTTATCATGTTGCATCCATGATTGAGCACATGTGGTCCTTCTGAGCTTTTCATTCACGGACAGCTTTTAACGCGCCGAGAGAACTATGCAGATTAGAACAACACTGCCATCTAGTGGCTGAAACGGTTACAAACACAATATTATCCTCCTTATTCCTGCGCCCCATGATGCTTCTTTGAGTGACTTATGGACAGAACTTCCGAAGCAATAAGCCTTTCCGCATAGCGTGCTGTTGGCCCCGCCATGAGATGATTGACAGGTGGAGAAGTCCATAAAAATGAAAATACAGTTCGAAAGCATTTTCAAAGGCGTTTTGCCAATAACAACAATAATAATAATGATAATACTAATACTACTACTACTACTACTAATAATAATAATAATAATAATATTGTTAGTAGTATTAGTAGTAGTGGAATTGTGCTGCCTTGTAGTATTTCTAAAAGGCTCCTATTTAAATTTACATCCTGTTCATTGTTCATCCTTAATTTAAACTAATTTCCTAACAAGTGAATATTTACTCTTAAATAATTACACTGTATAAGACAAATGCAGACTGCTGCTTTTCTGCTCAAAGGGCAACTAAAAGGGCACCGGACATCACACCATCCTCCCCTGGGCCGCTATTGACAGGCTGCATTAAGAAACATTGATAATGGCTATTACAGTTACTGTGGACATTAATGGTACAGTTCACTCACTTGACCTTTTCTGCAGAGCACATTATGGAGACATATATAAGCCACAGAGCTGAGTCAGGATAAGGCCAAGGCACCATTAGGTTCACTCTGACATCATGGCATCAATCTACAGTCTAGAAGGGAGGAGAGAGTGGCACCAAATGAGGTGAGAAGCTTGAATCACCACTACTAAGTGATATTACAGAATTTCGTTATGGATCAGTCACATCCTGATATCTCTAATGTTGTTGTTTTTTTTCTTTTTTCTTTTTTTGACAAATTCCAACCTTTAATGGACATTTAGAACATCTGTTGCTCTCTCTCTCTCTCTCCTCTCTCTCTCTCTCTCTCTCTCTCTCTCTCTCGACTTTTAATTTAGAAAAACAGAACGTTGGTGGTATTTTATTTTGAAAGATGTCACAGTTTGCCGCCATCTTTGAGGAAATGTTGACGTTGATTACTACATGGATGACGCCGTGGCTAACATGGCTAACATTGCAGCGAAGCATAAATGTGAAGATTTGCAGTTACATATTTGACTTCTAAACAAAAATGGATATTTTAATATTCACCAATTTTCTGAGACAACTCCACAAGCTTGAGATCCGAAGAAAAGGATCCTAAACTACACGGAAGTTCTTAGCTAGCTGGACAAACTGTAGGTTAATGCTTTAGCTATGCTTTAGCTATCAGTGCCCTTAGCTAGCTAGCTAACTTGTTCAAGTGGCCACTTTGTAGGCCGAAAATAAAAATACGTGGACTTTTTCTTATATTTGTGTAAGTAACCTACAGCCCCGACAGCAACACAATGGACGACAAATACAGTAGTAACGTTATCTCGGGTGGGAAGCTCGGTCGAGTTGAGGTGCCAAATGCCAGGTAAGCCTTGCAACTAACTGGCTATGCTAACTTTAATTAGATTACTTTACAATGAACCTTTGTAACGTTGTATAGGATAGCTTGAAATGGTTCTGCTTTTTTTGGTATTTTGTGCTGGGATTCATCTTATTCTTGTGTCTTTTATTTCAGACTGACCAGATATATTGTGTTGTTGCTACTCACCAAGATGTTAAAGGCTTTAGGAATTTTTGAATCCTATGACCTCCTCAAAGTTGTACATATTGTGCAGTTTGTCTTCATTCTTAAATTAGGGTAAGAAGTTGCTTTAGATTTTTAAATTTATAACAAACCTATAAAACAAATCATGGTCCATGTTCATGGTATGTTAGAATATACCGTGCTACACATTCTGTATGTCTTTTCTGTCTCTCTAACACAGGTGTGCAATGATTTTGCTTTTCTTTCAAAAACCGTTCTCGTCAGGAAAAATGGTGGCCAAAAGACAGGTATGTTGGGAAAGATGCTGATACACATTTAAGATCCACATATGAAAGCTTAATGTCACTCTTTTCTTAGATATGTATATGCAAGATCTTCATAATTCAGACATTGTCTTATCATTGTCTTATTATTGTTTCTCTTTCAGTGGATCAAAATCTTCAAACATGCTGTCATCAGCAGTATAATCTCACTTTTGGGCTTCTTTGGCCTTACACTCTGTGGACCACTAAGGTAAGGCTGCGGGCCCCTGCTTTTGTAATTAATTTTTATGCTTTCATAGATGTGTATATTCATCATGGCAAGAAAATTAAGCCAAGTTTAATTGTTGCAGGACATTGCTGTTATTTGAGCACAGCGATGTGGTAGTTATCTCTCTTCTTAGCGTTCTCTTCACCAGCTCTGGAGGAGGGCCTTCTAAGGTTAGATATGTAGCATATTATGCAACTTTCCAAAAAGGATTAGTTGTCTGTTAGCATTCCAGAATGTACATTATTGTTCTGTATTTGTTTTATAGACAAGAGGTGCTGCTTTCTTCATCATTGCAGTCATATGTCTACTGCTGTTCGATAATGATGACCTCATGGCAAAAATGGCAGAACACCGTATCCTTGGACAATGTGTTGTTTTTTGTTTTGTTCCACTTAATGTCATTTACAGTTTGGAAAGCTAAAGTTTGCAGCCCTTAACTGTTTAACTTGCAGCTGAGGGTCACCATGACAGTGCTCTCACCCATGCACTGTACACCGGGATCGCTTTTTTAGGTGTGGCGGACCATAAAGTGAGTAATATTAGTAAGTTTTGTCATGCAACTTTATTTCTGTGTGATAACATCTTTACAAATTACTGCTTCTTGGATGCTGTTTAGTGGGACAACTATTGGTTGACTACTATTCAGAAGTTAAAGATTAGTAAAACAACAAAGACTAATTTTGTTTTTTGTCATTTTCTGTCAGGGTGGAGTTGTGTTGTTGGTTCTGGCTCTTTGTCTAAAGGTGGCCTTCAACACACACTCTAGAAAGCTGTCAGTGGAGATCGGAGGAGCTAAGCGTCTCTATGCTCTGTCCAACCTGGTTTCCGCTGTAGTGCTGCTGCCTTGGGTCATTGTGCTGTCTGCCACCACTGAGGTATATGCATTCTCTATGCAAAAGAATCCTACCATTGTTCGCACTGTCAGACATACAGTACCTAATACATATCTGCTGTATTGATAACCTGCCTAAAATGAAATCCCTCAGAGCAAGGTGGAGTCCTGGTCTGGCCTGATCATGCCCTTCGCCATGATCGTATTCTCAGTGATGATCCTGGATTTCTACGTTGAGTCCATCTGCACAGCAAAGCTGGAGGCACCATGCTCAGCTCGCTATGGCTCCATCTTCCTGTTCCTGAGTGGTCTGCTACTGGCCAACTTCTGGACACACCCTCTGACTGACCAGCTCCGGGCTATGAGCAAGCCAGGGCAGCAGGCCAGCACTGAGCATGTGCTCTCTGGGGGTGTGCTGGTCAGTGCTTGCTTCTTCATCCTGTGTGAGTTACAGAAACGATTTTCCATTGTGATAACATCTAATCCACACATTTCAGATGCAGTATGAAGAGATCAATAAATAGGTGTTTCGGTTCTGTTGTCATGGCCAGGAGAATAGTAATTGAATCCAGACAATGTAAATCATTACATCCGGTGTAGTTGATGATGCAGTTGTACTTTTTTATTGTATTTTTCCTGTAAGGTGAGTAAATGTTATTTCAAAACGTGATGTACAATTAAAGTTATTCTTTTGTGTGTTTTTCAGCTGACAGTATACTGTCATCTCCCTCTAAGAAAGGGCAGAAAGGCACATTGGTGGGGTATTCACCTGAAGGAATCCCTCTTTATAACTTGATGGGAGATGCCCTGCAGCACAGCTCCCAGTCTTTACCTCGATTCATCAAAGACTCACTCAAGCAGATCCTGGAGGAGTACGATTCTCGACAAATCTTCTACTTCCTCTGTCTCAACTTGGTAAAACAAAAATGGGACTAATTTTTATGATTTTTCAGTGGCTTCTTTTGTTAATTCTGGTACAAGTGATTCAGACATATTGAGGCTGTGCACCCTTGCTTTAACATGTCTACATCTTATCTGGACAAAGTTTGGCTGGATTTCATGTACTTTTCACTAAATGCATCCCTGGTGTAATCAGACGAGATCTAATTTGACTCTGCTGTGTTAAAACATATTAGTATATACATTGTTTCCATTTTATGTCTGTTTACTTTGCCCCCCATTACAATATTAATCGACAGGTTTGGCTTGGGCATTTCATCCGTCCAAAGTGCAAGAAGCCACTTGGTTTAAGCAGCCTTGCCTACCCTCCATCTTGCGTTTTCTTGTGTTTCTTCTGACCTGCTATTCAGCACTTGGCATATACATTTTTCCCTACGTAACTGTAGGACACAGAATACGTCTCCGATTTGGTTTTAGTGACCTGATCATTATCTGATCACTGTGTGATCTGAACTTGTTTACACCAGGCTTTTCTTGGGGCACAGTGAAATTAATTGTGCTCCAGTCACCAAAAAAAGCATGTTGATGCAAGGTGTAAACTGTCCCATTTAAAGGTTCATATTGTGCACAAGGTGTAAGTGATAATGCTGTTGGTTTTTGACAGGCCTTCACGTTTGTGGAGCTCTTCTATGGTGTATGGACCAACAGTCTTGGTCTGATCTCAGATGGTTTCCACATGCTGTTTGACTGCTCTGCTCTGGTGCTGGGACTCTTTGCTGCCCTGATGACCAGATGGAAAGCAACTAGAATATACTCTTATGGGTATGGTTATTCTTTTTTCTTCCATTTTGTTTTTAGAATTAATGTGTAGATTATTAAGAGAGTTTGCTGCTATTGAGTTTACTGCTAAGTAATTCAGAGTATTTCCATTATGATGTGTGTATGTTTGCGGGTTTTTTTTTGTTTGTTTTGTTTTTGTTTTTTAGGTATGGCCGTGTTGAGATCCTATCTGGGTTCATTAATGGTTTATTCCTAATGGTCATCGCCTTCTTTGTGTTTGTGGAATCGATCTCCAGACTCATAGACCCTCCAAACATAAACACAGTGATGCTAGCGGCAAGTACTTCATCTTTTATGAATTTTTTGGGACTGTGCTCTTTCAGGAGTACTAGTATTATTAATGAGGCTCTTGCTCTTTCATTAGCATTACAGTTTAGTCTACATAGACTCTGTAATTCACTGGGCCTTACTGTACACAATGCTATGTCTTTTATTTCTATGATGCTACTTGTAATTTGAAACACATCAACTAAAACCATGTAGCCACTCACTCAAAGAAATATCTGTGGCATTTTTAAATGATTAGCTGACATGAAACTGAACAACACTGAGCGAACGGAATGACTCAACTCGACAAAGCAGTTTACAGTGGAGTGTGGCTCGGTGAGAGAGGCGACCCTCTGCACCGGTACCTGCTGACACCTCTCTGAAGGCCCACCTCACCCATGGAGCACTGATTCAACAGAAGCCACAAATGTGCTGCTGCACTGAACAGCCTTTCTGCGTCTTAAAGAGACGCTTTGCTTGCCTCCTCATCAGACTGCAAACCAGCTCACAGAGGGCAAACAACAACATTGTCCCTCGTGTAAAGCTCCACAATTTGGCAATTAACTGGGATGAACACTCACAAGGACCTGCACAGCTGGTCCACTTACTGTACACTGAGCCCATACTGAAGACAATGCAGACAGGGCATTCTGCTTAGCTTTGCAAATCATTTTGAATTGTTCAGAAATACACCTTTTGAGACTACTTTGTTTCCTTTCACCCAACAGCTCTGAGATCTGTGTGAAACATCAAGATCTCTTCAGGTCTGACAGTGAAATGCTCCCACAACTTTCAGAAGTTTCGCTCATATATTGTTATACTCTTCCCAAACAGCCAGTCTCTGTGGGCGGACTTATTGTGAACCTGGTGGGCATCTGTGCCTTCAGCCATGCCCATTCCCATGGGGCATCTAAGGGCAGCTGCTCAGGCCATGAGCATGGCCACTCGCACCATGGCCATGGGCACGGAGAACACGGCCACAGCCATGGAGGCCACGGCCACTCTCACGGTCATGGTCACTCCCACAGCCCTGGAGGAAGAGGCATGAATGCTAATATGAGAGGTAGCTATACTTTTGTGTTTCTTTATAGCGGAGAGATACTGTCCATTGACGCTGTTCTTATGATTGATTTTTTTCATTTTGTTTTTAGAGGTGTTTTCATTGATTGTGTTCTGTGTTGAAGGAAGAACATTTTATAAATCAGATACACCACGGGTTTGTATGCAAATGGATGTAAATATTTTTAGAGTTACATTTAGGTTTTTTGGCTGACGTTGGATAAGCGTGTAGAAAGAGAAAAGAGTGGAAGTCAGAATCGACTCCGGAATGAATGAGTGATGTGCTACATAACATTTAACAGACATGATAACTATGTCTACTTTGACTTTTACAGCCTAAAAAGAATCTGTTCTGAAAACACTCTTACTGCATATTTGCTTTTGTTATCTGTATCTGTAACTGCACTGACAGTTTGTCTGGATGCTTTCAGGAGTCTTTCTGCATGTGTTGGCTGATACATTGGGCAGCGTCGGAGTCATCATATCCACGGTTCTTATCAGTCAGTTTGGCTGGCTGATAGCAGACCCCATATGCTCTCTGTTCATTGCCACACTCATCTTTCTCAGTGTCATTCCTCTGTTGAAGGATGCCTGTGAAGTCCTGCTGCTGAGGATTCCACCTGAGCACGAGAAGGACCTCAACTTTGCCCTTGAAAAGGTATAAATTTAGTAGTGAGTATTTTAAATCAATTAAATGTTTCTGAGCTTTTGATATACAAAGTAATTTTCAAGATAGACTCTAACATCTTTTTTTTTATTTTTTTTTAACTCAGATTCAGAAAATAGAGGGTATCTTGTCTTATCGTGACCCGCACTTCTGGAGACATTCTGCAAACGTCGTTGCTGGAACCATTCACCTACAGATCATGTCCGATGTTGTGGAGCAGCGAGTTATTCAACAGGTTCGGCATGAACTTTCTTTAGAAGAGATTGTGTGTTGTTTTAATACCATACAGAAGTTTGTTCTTAAATGTCCTGAGTTTTCATTGTAATGTCCTGATCAATTTATTATGTAATAATCTTTTATAAGAAATCCGTAATTGTTTGGCAAATTGCGTACTACGTGAAGCAAGCCAAAACTGAATTCTTCTCACCTCTTGTGGTTTTTGTTGTTGCTGTCAGGTAACTGCAGTGCTTAAGGATGCTGGAGTAAATAATCTGACAGTGCAGGTGGAGAAGGAGGCCTATTTCCAACACATGTCTGGCCTTAGCACAGGATTCCATGAGGTTCTGGCAATGACCCAACAGATGGAGTCCATGAAATATTACAAAGACGGCACATGTATCATGTAACCAGTTGTGTAAAAAATGTAAATGATTTTCCTTTAAATAAAAATTTATTTAGTTGTGGTTCATAGTGTGGCTAATTTCTTAATAAATTCAATATCAAAGTGGTGTGATGTTTACAGTGCAGTATGTGTTTGTAAATAAACCTGTAAATGAACTATTTGCCTGTTATAGTTGACAGTTTAAAAAAAAAGAACCAAACAGTTACTCTATATGTCCTGATCAGCTAATGTGTTCTCTGAAATTAAGGGTATTAAGAGGGCATTTGCTATAGCTATCAGGATTTGATTACATCCAGCCAGAACAACGTTAGTGAGGTCAGGTACTGATGTTGGTTGATGGATCAATGCGTGACTGCATATTTACTCCTCGCAAGCCGATGCCGGGGAACTTTATAATCCTAGCCAGCGCTTTGCATTCTGTGTAATGACTCATGCAAGGCTGCTCCAGTGTCCCGTTCTGCTGACATAGCACCTCTTAAAAAGTTCAAACTTCGCTTTATCCGTTAACGAAAACCCATGCAAAGTACACAGAATGTGTTTGATTGGTTCGCATTACCCTTAAATTAAAAAGTTGTTTTCGAAAACGTGCTCTGTTACTGATATGTTTGTTTACTAGGCTGCACCAAAGCATGGCAACTGTAAAGATCAGGTTCTGTAGCTGAACAGACGCTACTTTTGACTGCATCGGGAACATAGCTACGTTACGGTGGCGACGCTATTCATGCGTCAGATACGGACTACGTATGTCTTGTGTTTTGGTGAATGTCATGGGACGCGATGATCCTGATTTTAAAACTGCATTATAATATTCAGAGGATTACTTCTAGGCAAATTCTTCGCCTAGAACCATCAATGGACATTTTGAATCTCTTCGTTCTCGCATGTACTCCAATACAGTAGGCGGCAGTACAAACCTCTGAATAAACGGATTACCAACAAAGTCACCGAAGAACAGATTTAACCAACGAGCCCCGCCCTTTGGAGGTCACGTGCTCATCAGTCGCCTTAGGAACGCATTGTTATCAGGTGCAGCTCAACCAATCAGATTTCGTGAGTTTTAGAACGCAGCGAATCAAATTCGAAAGAGCGACAATTTAAACCAAAGGACAAGGCGCTGATAGTACGTGCTTGTTCAGCCCGAACCAGTTTTTTTTTCAGAAGCCAGAGAGCCGCACGATTTCTGAAATGGCTCTTCGTATTACAAGGGTGAGTTTTTCCCTAATGTTTTTCTTTAAATGGCCTTGTTGTCGGAGATGTTTAACAATACTTAAGTAGCTTGCTGATCACACTTATTTTAGTCTAATCTTGTCGCTGTGTGTACACGCACGTTTTTATGCTATTTGTAGTTTAAGAAATGAGACTTGACCACTTTTGGTTCTTTGTTTTTTAACTGGGTATCCTTTCTATTAACTTCTTAAATTCTCCCAGAGCACTCGCCTGGCCAGCAGCGAGAACCAAAGTGCTGTTGCTGGGAAAGCAGTCATTGCAAATAAACCTGCTCTAAGGCCAAGAGCTGCGCTCGGTGAAATTGGGAACGCAGTATTGCCACGGCAGCCTATAAAGAAAAAGGTAACTATTGCATAATGTCGACTGTATTGCTTACAGTTCATTATAAGCTTTCGGTGTGTGAATGTCGCTTGGTTAATCTGTTTTATTTTCTTTGTGAAACAGGATGTGAAGCCTGCACCCGTGGTGGTTGAGAAGAAGGCGCTTGAGCCTGTTAAGCAACCAAAGGAGTCACCCAAAATTGAAAATGAGGTTCAGGTGAGGGTTTTCTTGGGTTACCCACGTATGTTAGACTCTTTGAGCTTTCCAGTGTTGCTGAAATAAGTTCTGTTTCTATACTTATATTTAGCACTGCTTTCCAAGTACAAAGTGAAGGTTTAAATGGCCTAATCTGTACCTTTTTGACAATTGTAGGTTTAAATGTATCCTTCCATGTGTGGTTACTTTAGGGTTGTTTGCAATGGAACATGCTTATCTGCTTTTAAATAAATCTGTGCTTTTTAAATTTAAGATTCTGTCAGAGCCTTCCTCTCCTGTGCCCATGGAAACCTCTGGCTGTGCCCCAGAGGATCTGTGCCAGGCTTTCTCTGATGTACTGCTCAATATCAAAGATGTGGATGCTGATGACTATGACAATCCCATGCTCTGCAGTGAATATGTAAAGGACATCTACAAATACCTCCGGCAACTTGAGGTGGGTTGCTTTACTTCCTTTCTGCCTTGCCCTCTACTTACCCCTCCCTCTTAACTAGACTGCTCCTTCTGTTTGACTTCATGCCTGTGCTCTTGTCCCTAGGCTGATCAGGCTGTCAGGCCAAGGTATCTGGAAGGAAGGGAAGTCACTGGGAACATGCGTGCCATCCTTATTGACTGGCTTGTCCAGGTTCAGATCAAGTTTAGGCTACTGCAGGAGACCATGTACATGACTGTGGCAATCATTGACCGCTTTCTTCAAGTAGGTTGACCTGAAATGGTGTAATAGCTTTACTAGGTTCTTTAAGTTTATTTGCATAAGTGGGAGTTAAGACCTCTTCAGGCTGGTACTTGACTAGCATGAGCTTGGTGTATTTCTAATTGGGGGCAGGATTTCTTGGCAACTTAAAAGAAACTCTTCACCAGATTTTTAGTCACTAATGGCTGTCTTTGTGCTCCCAGGATCATCCAGTTCCCAAGAAGCAGCTCCAGCTGGTTGGTGTGACTGCCATGTTCATTGCCTCAAAGTATGAGGAAATGTACCCACCAGAGATTGCAGACTTTGCCTTTGTGACGGACCGCGCCTACACTACTGCTCAGATCCGTGAGATGGAGATGAAGATCCTGAGGGTCCTGAAATTCAGCTTTGGTAGACCTCTCCCTCTCCAGTTCCTCCGAAGGGCTTCAAAAATTGGAGAGGTGCATAACTCCTGTTCTGTGGGTTTTTTTTTTTTTTAAATAAAACTCTTAAAGCCAATGCTAAGAAATCAGACCTAATCAGAACTTCTTTGCAGGTTACAGCAGAGCAACACACCTTGGCTAAGTACTTCGTAGAACTCACCATGGTGGACTATGACATGGTGCACTTCCCTCCCTCTCAGGTTGCCAGTGCTGCTTTTGCTCTCATGCTAAAGGTCTTCAGTTGTGGGGAATGGGTAAGTTCCATTACTCTTGATCTTGAAGGATGGATCCTTTTTTAGCAGGTCCCACTTCACTTAACTCCTTGACTCTCGTTTAGACTCCTACTCTGCAGTATTACATGGGCTACACAGAGGACAACCTGATTCCAGTAATGCAGCATATTGCCAAGAATGTTGTCAAGGTCAATGAGGGGCTCTCAAAACACCTGGTGAGTTCACTTTCATGTGTACAGGTTATGTTGCTTCAAATAACTCCTGTTTAATGTAATTCATTGGTCTTTGCTTTTTAGGCTGTTAAAAACAAGTACTCCAGTCAGAAGCAAATGAGGATTGCCTCAATCTCTCAGCTCAAGTCATCATTGATTAAGGACCTTGCCAAGCAGGTCTCCTAGTGAGATTGCAAGAGGACTCTAGCACTATGTGCTGACTGTAAATTGTAACTTAATTGCATGCTTTTACTTTTTTTAGACTTGTGTGAAATCTGATTTAAGGTTATGCATTTTACTGGAGTTTACTCTCACTGCCACTTGTAAATGTAACTAGTTAATGTGACTCCAACTGTGCAATCTTGTACATTTTTAAATTGACAATAAATCTTTTAAGACTACAGGTAGTTTTGTCATGACTAAACTTCATATGCTCTTTTTTAAGGAAGACAGATGGCTGATGCTTTGTCTTTAACCTGTTAACACACTTGTGTGAATCAGATGTTTATGGAGGTACTGCAATAAGCCAAGTGGATTTCATTTCTTCCCAGCAAATTTAAGCTTATGAATTATTTAGCTGACAATCCATACTGTTGAAGGAAAATGGCTTCTGATAGTCAATGAAAATTATTCTGTAGAGTCATTTCAATAGAGAGCAATTTGTCTGCAATGTGTTCCAGAAAGCTTGTTTTTAACCCCTCTCTTACTCAGCTGTAGTTATGAAAAGTCCTGTCTAAATTACACTGTCATGCAATAGCTATAGGTCTAACATAATTCTTTAATACAAAAGCATCAATTAAACCTTGGGTTTTTTTTTTCTCTCTCCTCCTCCACCCCCACATTGGCAGCATCAGTTCCTCAAATTCTATCTAAAATCCTTATTGTACTCCATAATTAAAGTGACTGAAAATACATTAGATTGACCCCTTGCAATTTCACTAACATTATCCTTTCTGAACAAACTCTTATTTAAAATATACAGAATAGTTTCTGCATCTGCAGCAAAAATAACTTTGACTATACAATGGAAAGATCTATCCATTGCTCCCAGTGCTGATTTCTGCTTGCAGAAATGGTGTGATTACAGGTACTTGGCTACAGCTCATACAATATAAAATCATCCACAGAATACATTACACTGGACAAAGGATGTTCAAAATGGGATTTATCAGCTCTGAAATCTGTTGACATTGTACCCAGAATACCACAGATAATTACATCCATGCCATGTGGCACTGCCCACCTACAAAACATTTCTGGCAAGAAATTATCTATTAGCACTGTTTAAATATCACTATCCCCCTATCCCTGCAAATGTCTGTTAGGAGACACATCAGTATGACAAAGGAAACTTCCACCACACTACTCACAGCTCTAACCATCACCAAGAAAACCATCCCCATGAACTGGAAGACAAAAACCATTACTGTCATTGGAAAAATTTACTAATGGATCATATATCTATGGAAAATATTTCTGCTTCCATCAAACAAAAAAACACTCAATTTGACTCCATCTGGACACCGGTTATTAATGTTTTACAACAGTAATTTTCCCACTAAATCAACTTTACTGGAGAAGCTGGTATACTGAGATCAAATACCCAATTCCAAACTACTCTATATAATCATAAACTCTCTCCTCTTTATCTCACCCACAAATGCACAATTCTATCGCCATACAACGTTAATTCTTATGGCACTACTGGTGTTTTTAACGTTTGCTTTTCATGAAGT